CCTTTTTTTCAATATTCCTTACCATTGAGGCCTTTCCATCAACCCCATTATACTTCTCAAATAAATCAAATGTTCATGGATGAACTTTCTGTATCAATTCATCTGCTATACCAGCAAGCTGTGGACTTCTTTGTTTAGTAAGCTACTAGAGACCTATAGTTAAAGAGATTCTTGGTTTAAGCTGAACTTTGTGTTGGTGAATATATCTTTGTTGACCTTATAAACAATCCATTTTCGCAAAACTACTCCAAGAACAGAAGAGTATTGTCTAACTTCAGGAACAGTAGAAATCTTAGAGTCTTCACTGCTGGCTTCCAACTGGAACTCAGCAACCACAGGTTATTTTCACAAAAGCCTTAATATTTCTAGGTAAACATTTGTGTAGGATGGTGCCTCTATCTGATTAGTCAGTAGTTACCATGGAGAAATGAAAGTCATTTTGTGAACAACAGGAATAAAACCTTTATGACCCTTCACTCTTGCTTTCAGAGTTAGAAAAAAAGCAAACTGTTGCTTGTGTATCTAAAAGAGTTGTGATTGTGACCCAAAAAAAGTAGATGAAGCAAACATTAATTATGTTGTCCAATTTATAGAAGAGGGACTTTTTGCCATCAGGTAATCTCTGTACAGTATTTTATACATATAGTGAATAAAAGTATTAGCAAAAAAGAAATTGGCATGCCCTCGCTAATAGTTTGTTTTCCGTGTGGGGAAGGACTTCGAGTTGGAGGAATGTGGTTATGAGAGGTTGTGGGCTTTATTTTATTAGAAACAGGTTTTATGTTGCTGTTTTCTATTTTAGGAGGGAAACACTTCAATAAAAATATTGTGGCAAACCAGCACATTCTTTGCAGTTAATTCTGCTATTAGAATGCCAACCCCACCCCACCCCCAGATCTTAGCTCACACCTCACCTTATTTAGATTTAATTTAATTTAATTAAGAGCTGTGGTGACGCAGTGGTTAGAGTGCAGTATTGCGGGCTGATTCTGCCCACTGCCAGGAGTTTGATCCTGACCAGCTCAAGGTTGACTCAACCTTCCATCTTTCTGAGGTCAGTAAAATGTGGACCCAGATAGTTGGGGGCAATCTACTGACTCTGTAAAATGCTTAGAGAGTGTTGTAAAGCACTACATATAGCGGTATATAAGTCTAAGTGCTATTGTTATTGCTATTAATTACAGACACTTGAATTCCCTTCCATGGGATAGAAAATTGAACTATTCCCCTTTTATTAATAGCCAGTTGCATGGGAGCTTTTCTAGTTTGATTTTTTTTTAAGTTTACTACCCAACCCTTTTTTGTGTCCTATATTTGCTAATGATACCTCCTACTTGTGCTTTATCATCTTTACTCCTGAAAATTTTCCAGTCACGCCAGCCATATGTCACTTAGATAAGTCTTCATCAATATTCCTTTATTTTTTGAGCTGCTTTCTCAGTACAGTTTTAACCACACCCATACCAAAGGTGTTCAGTGGTCACTCATTAATAAATAGATCCCTGGCTCTATTTCCTATTCCTATTCTTAGAGCATGATCAGATATAATTTATTGTTATCCTTACAAGAGCATAAAGGTCACACATAGCATTTGTATTTATCTGGGAAGCCCATTCCACGAGTGTAGAAAGTCTGAGGTGCAGTTTTAAAAATAAAATAGGTGCACTTTTATTTACAGTTCTCCAATTCTATGAAAATCAAAGATAATCAAATTTCCTCCTTATAATTAGTTTCTTTTTATGGTTTAAAGTAAAGGTATAGGTTCCCTTTGCACATATGTGCTAGTCGTTCCTGACTCTAGGGGGCAGTGCTCATCTCCATTTCAAAGCCGAAGAGCTAGCACTGTCCGAAGATGTCTCTGTGGTCACGTGGCCGGAATGACTCAACGCCAAAGGAGCATGGAATGCTGTTACCTTCCCACCAAAGGTGGTCCCTATTTTTCTACTTGCTTTCAAACTGCTAAGTTGACAGAAGCTGGGACAAGTAATGGGAGTGCATCCCGTTACGCGGCACTAGGAATTCGAACTGCTGAACTGCCGACCTTTCGATCGACAAGCTCAGCGTCTTAGCCACTGAGCCACCATGTTCCTTTTAATGATTTAGATACATGTATAGCTAAAGGAACCGGCTTTGTAACTGACAAAGTTCCACAATACTGTTAACTTTAGGATTAGAGAAAACCTTTCAAGCAGCTGCTTTCGCGCATATGCACAGATTCTTATGTAATTTCTCACACAGAATTTTCTTCTAAGGAGGACATTATGGGCTTTGTAATAAGTTGTCGATGACTCTTAATGGCCATATAAATAGTTTTTCTCCATGCTGATCTGTCCCTATCTTGGTCGTCCGGTGCATGCATCAAAGCAGTCATCACCATTCATTCTCTTTCTTTCCATCTTTCCAGAGCCTTCTCTAGAGAAAGAAAATCAAAATACCTAGAAAATAAAAATGACAGCTTGAATGTCCCTCGCCACAGACACCCACATGTTCAGAACAACAAGTAGTGGTTGGTTTTTTCCCCCAACAGTAGGAGATAGTGGGGAGGAGGGTAAGCAGACACAGGAATGTACCAATCGTTGCCCTAAATGATTGAATCATCTAAATATTTGTCCTAATGTGTATTCTGGGTAGCAATATAGTTTGTCCCTGAAGAATGGTAAAGGATAAAGCTTTCTACATAAATCTGCTTTCCTCCTGATTGAAGAATGAGAGTACCACATGTTTCCATGGCCATGAAGTGGCCAAAGTGAAGCATGAATTTAGTGCAGACTATTTATTTATTTATCTATTTGATTGATTTGTGTGCTGCCCATCTTGTCTGGAGGCACTTGTTCACCTAAGCAAGGAAAGCAAACAGATTTTTTTGTGTGTGTGAGACTGACTCAGAGGATTAAGATCAAATTTATTGATAAGATTGCTTCGGGGGATCTAGGTAGCAGAACTTAAACTGTAGGAGAAGGGTAGCTGATGCAAGAATTTCCTACAGGAAAGTAAGAAAAAAGCCATCTCCGAGCATTATGGAGCTCTAATGTTACAAATGACAAAAATGTTATGATTTTGGCTGCATCGCAGCTGAACTGTATGAGGAATAAGAGGAGAGGCATAAATGCCATACCTCAAGAGACCTGAAGCTGTCTAGCAGAGACTGTTGAATTAAAAGTTAGTTATTTCATGCATCAGCAGATTCATCCAAGGGAAGGAATGTAAAAATCAGGACCACGAATTTTATGACTTGTAAGGACAAGACATTTTATTGCATCTGTCTTTGGAGAATCTCTTCTAGTTGCATGACAGCCTTTCATCAGAACAGAAAACTAATATTAATGGTATTCTTTTTTTCAGCATTGCAACTGGAAGCACATGATAAGAATAGAAAATATTTACTTTTAGGGCAAACCTAATTTGGCATGGATATCTATGTATTCCTTCCTCCACTTCCTCTTAGTAAAAAGCCTGCATTTGCATCCTATTCCTGATGCTGATTCTCACCTCCAGATGAAAGAACCAGGATGTGTAGCTTTTTTCCCATGGTGAAAAGGAATGTGAGCAGGGCAATTTTAAGAGTTTTCTTTCTTTCATTAGGGAACATTTGTGTATACTTTTTCGCCACTCAGATGGGCAGAGTGCCAAATTTGTGTTTGGTTTTAATATGCAAGATCAAACTGCGTGGCACTTTCAGACCTACTTCACACAATATGGCTATTGCGGTTTGTTTGTTTTTGTTTTCGTTTGCTATGTGAATGAAAGCTTTGTGGTTATTAACCACATTTATTGGCTTGTTATTTTGGGTGAACTCAGACAAATGTAGTAAACCGTTTGTCTCTAAGGCTGCTTCCAGTTGTTTCTTAAGCCAATTTCAGATATGGAATGCATCTGCAATGAGCCAGAAAGGACAGAAAGACAAAAGGAAAAGTGATCCATACTAGACAATGAGCCTATCAAAAAGTGAGGATCTGCTCATAATTTATTCAATAAGACTTATATTAAAGTAAGCCCTAATATATTGTGCAAGTTAACATTTATTTTTTAATGGAGCATAGTTAAATAGTCATATAAACCAAGCCTCAGTTTATATGAAGAAAGGATGTTAGTGCCATATCCTGAATCAGGATACTTAAGCTCAATATTCTCTACAGTGACTGCAGATCTTTCAGTGTCCCATTTCAAATTTCTCTGAACTTGGATGAATCATGAACCTTCTGCAGGAAGCACTGAGCTGCAGAATGTTTATCCTCCCTCCAAATAGATGGTCACTTATCAGGAACAATCTTCAAGCTGAAAGGAGGCACCCCACTGCAAAGCAGAAGTTGGCCTCATCTGAAAAATGGACCCTGCTATGACATCTCTGCACAGATAATGATAGTCAAATAGCACTAGCAATAGCACTTAGACTTATATACCGCTTTACGCTGCTTTACAGCCCTCTCTAAGCGGGCTTAGTAATCCATAATCAGTATGGATTCAGACAGCAGAGTGACTCAGCCCAGCAGAAGGAAGCCAAAGCAAAACTGGAATCTTACAACATTATGTTCCAGTCAAGCGTCCTTCCTCTAGATGAGTATTTTGGAATCACAGATGTTTTCAGTCATTTATTTCTGCCTCCGACTACCTCATTTAAAATTGTGTGCATGGCTTTTTGAAACACAATTTTGGAATTACTATTCTGAAATGCTTTTGTTAACAACATACAGCAATGCACGATGGCATGAAAGGAAACCCGCTGTGGTTGTCATGGTACCACATATTTCAAAATTCAGATTATTGCTGTACAGAAAGATTTCAGGCATATATTTGGCCTTCGGTTAATTGAATACACAAGCGAAGTATATTGTATAGAGTCAGTTGTCCAGTTACAATGTTTTGCTGCTGGTAAGTTGCTCAGTTGGGGCCTAACAAAACTCCTTATGTTATTTCAAACCAAGCTGTTCTGGATAGTGAAACTTGGAAATATAGGAAGTTGTCTTGGAGACCATCTGTATATCCAAACTTCCTCCAACCAGGTGCCCTCGGGATGCATGCAACTACCACTTCTCCAATTGCGAGCCAGCCTGGAGTTCTGATCCAACCTATCTGAAAGTTCCCCAAGTTCAGAAAGACTGTCCATGAACAAGTGCCCCCCAGATATGTGCACCTCCCTTGATGACACTTGGAATTGGTAAGATCACACTTGGAATACTTCATCTAGTTTTGGTCACCACAGTGTAAAAAAAGATGTTGAGATTTTGGAAAGAATGTGAAGAAAAGCAACGAACATGATTAGGGGGCTAAAGGCTGAAACATGTGAAGAACAAATGCAGGTGTGTCTAGTCTAGTGAAAACAAGGACTAGGGGAGACATGATAGCAGTGTTCTAATATTTGAGGGATTGGCACAAAGAAGAGGAGCACCTGAAGGGCAGGACAAGGAATACTGGATGGAAACTAGTCAAGGAGAAAACCAACCTAGAACTAAGGAGAAATTTCCTGACAGTGAGAACAATTAATCAGTAGAACTTGACCAGTGGGTTGCCTTCAGAAGTGGTGGGTCCTCCTCCTCCATCACTGGAGGTTTTTAAGAAGCCATTCGTCCAAAATGATATAGGGTCTCCTGCTTGAGTAGGAAGTTGGACTAGAAGACCTCCAAGGTTTCCTCCAATTCTGTTATTTAATTCTTTGCTTTCTCAGCAATAGCCGTATTGTCTACAAATTCTGGACATTGAAGCCCACACATCTGGAAGGCACCCAAGTTAAAAAAGATTGATTTAGTTCATCATTTGTGGAGCAACTGCCTTGAATGATGATTTCAGTAGCCGAGTGGGCTTCTTGTCTAAATTGTGCAAAAACAGCAGAAATCTTTTCTGGCATTTCAAATAGTTACACATGTATTAAACAAGTTTTCCTATCACAGTTGTCATCTTGGCTAGAAACTCTGGGATTAGCACAAAATGCAATATGTGTTTGCTGAATGGTGGTATACTCAACCAAACCTAAACACAAACATTTCAAAGTGTTCATGTCCATAACGTGTCCTTTTTGTCACTTATGTTCAAGTTGTGGCAATGTTTTTGATCAATTTAAAACTAACAATTGTCATTATTAGCACAAAACACACACAAAGAAAAATGATTTCTCTTTCTAATGAACAGCTCTAAAAGAGCACAGATAATGCTTTATTCAAGTTAGTACAAGGGGAAGAGACCTGAATAAAAGAGGCATTGAATGATACTTTATGGGTAATACTTTCACCATTCAAGTTAGTATAAAAGGACTGAATAAAAAGGAGTTGAATAAAAGTAGATAAGTAGATAAAACAAAATGTAGCTTGCAAACTTTTGTTAAGACTCCTGTAAGACTAAAACTGATCAGTGGAGACAGACAGGGAAGTGAAGAAATGATAGTTTGGGATGTGAAACATCATTACAAAAATATGAAGGCATTGATCATGAGGCTGAGGGATTGCTAAACACAGTGGGTAAAAGAAGATAAAATATTTATAGATTCCTTAATTTCAATAAAAATATCACAAGAAGAACAGAGAAAGGAGACATTTAGATATAAAAAGAAAATCTCACAACCTTTAACAGGAGAGCAAAAGAAGTGATAGACCAGAGGCATCGTGGGCTGCTATTAATCTATTAATACTTCAGTGATCATTTCCATATACGCGCTGAATGAATTAACTATTTAGGTACTCTTTATGACATTTCTCAAACAATTTCATTAAATATGAATACACAGGTTTCTTTGGATGTTGATAGAGGTCTTTATCAGGGGTGGGTTCTACTTACCTTCTACTACCGGTTTAAAGCGGGACCGCGTGTACGCGCTTGCTTCGCACGCACACGTTTTTCTGCGCATGTGCAGAAGCGTTTTGATGATGTCGGGGTCAGTGGGCAGATCCTCCTGCCAGTTTTACTACCGGTTCTATAGATCCGATGAGAACCGGGGTCAACCCACCACTAGTCTTTATGCTGCGCTCTTTGCAGTAGGGCGAATACATTGCAAGATGTATTAAATCAATCATTTGTCAAAATCGTGCTTCATGAACTCAAACATATGCCTGCTTTTGCTGGCTTGCATTCTGTTCAATGTCATTATAGGCCAGGGGCTTTCAGCCTGGAAACACACATCATTTTTTTTTTCCTGACACTCAAGTATTTTACAGCATTGCATGGCTCACTGGTTCACAGCACCTTCTGTTGCCATTTACTCTGTATAAATAGCATCAAGTCTATCAGGGAGCAATATCCGCTAACTGTAGGCCTTGAATAATTTCCTGATATATTATACCTTTCATTAAATACTGAACCTGGCTACTATTTTCTGTTCAACATATTGCAATCAGGAATGAATCATACGTGAAATGCAAAATGAGTTTGGAATCACCTGGTGCAACTGGGCAATAAAAGAAAGAAAAGTGTAGACAGATTTTATTCCATTAACAGAGGGGTGCTCTGCAGAAATCAGCAGGTAAGTCATTTTGTCACTGACTAAAGAGGACTCCTGGGAATTTTTATTAAAGGGTTAGCAATAGGAGGGCAGGCTTAATGTTTTTACCATACTATGTAGCATTAATGAAAATGTTTAGAACTGTCTAAATAAGACATCACTGGAATACAAAGTAGGCTGTGATATGGTTGGTAAAGGAAGAAATAGTATATGGGGGCTGTGTATGTTTTGAAAATGAATGAAAAGCACTTCAGAGCTCATGGATCTCTTCCAAAGCATGCTTAGCTTTGATACACACGCACACACACACACACACACACACACACACACTCTTATACTAGACACAGTTTGAAAATGTTGCCACCAACATTCTTAACAACTGTTACTAACCTAACCTATAGTGATTCACTTAACAACTGTGGCAAGAAAGGTTGTAAGAAATGGGGCAAGCTCACAATAATTCTCACTTAGCAACAGAAATTTGGGGTTCATTTGTGGCCATAAGTTGAAGACTACCTGTATTATATTATAACAGAGCTCCCCAACTCCCCAGTTGGGCCATTTGGAACTGAGCTACAAAAGTGGGGAGTGCGCACATGCGCTCATCCCTACTTGCACGAGCAGTAAGCAAGCAGGTACATTTCCCCATCACTTGTGTGGAACCATCCCTCTCTCCCTTCCCCACTGGGCCCCACTGGGAGGGAGAGGTGGTTAGGGGCTCATTGAAATAACCTCCTATGTTCCTCTCATTTCAGAACACCATCTTCGGTTGAAGGGGTAGGGAGCAGCCTGTCAGCCCTGGAGGCCATCTTTTTCTTTGGATCTTCAAGGCTGTCACACTTAGTGCTGTGGGAATGTGGGAGGGGGGTAATATGGAATGGGTAGAGATATATAGCCATAACAACATTCTTTTGTCTGGGAATCAAGGACGTTCAGCCTGCACCTGGAGAGGTGTGACTGGGGGACATCTCCAATTGGGATGGTGGATTGATTGGACCATGTGATGGACATGTGGGTGCAGGGGAAGGAAGTTTGACTTTCCTTTGGATGGGGAAAACCCAGGAGCTTTCAGATTCGGGTTTTCCCAGATGTGCCGATATGACATCTCTAATAAAATGGAACTTTGAGGAACTGCTGGCCTCGGAGTCTTATTGGTTGGGGGTGTTACTTGGAACCCTGAAGGCACGAAGGTTGGGGAACTCTGTATTATAACCAACAATCTTAATTTTGAAGACAGTATTCCCTGGGGTCTTTTTGTCCCTCTATTATTATATATAAACTCTCCAGTTTAAAAGCTCACTGGAGATTAACTCCTCTCTGTTTACCCAGACTCTGAATTACTTTTGTTGTGTTTCTCATAAAATGATTGGGTGCTGTGTTCTTTAATTAGCTTATATACTAGTTTAATCATATGCCAACTTTATTGTGAAGACATCTGCCTTGAAAAAAAGAATCTAAATATTTGGATAAAATATAGAAGTAAAATGTTGCAGACAAATTAATAGGTATTTTTAAGGAGAGTGTAAAACAAAAAATAAACATATAGACTGATTTTAGAGATTTGGCTCCCATCTTTGTTACCCTTTAGGTATTTAGGTAAGTCTTTGTTGTCTTCTGGTTTTATCAGCTTGTCTTTGTTGAAATGGACACCTGTTGAGACTGTAAACAACAATTTGAATCTGTGTTTTGGATTTATGGCTCTGAAATGGCTTGTATTTAGAATCTTGCATAATTTTTTTGTTTAGAGTCTTAATATTCTTACCCAGGATACCCAGGTATATTCCATCCAGATTTTATATATATATATATTAAAATTTATATAAAGCAGATTGTTCTGAAAATTTCCTAATTTAGTTTTTTTTTTCCTTTTATCAGTTTGATATACAGAGAAAATAGAGCAAGTCCTGTACTGATGAGAATCTCTTGAATAGATCTCTCCAGATCTTTTTCCATCATTTTCCTTCAAACTGTATGGGGCAAACCCTCTTCTTCCCTAGCAGAAATAGACCCATAGCCATGTCAGAATTTATAGAATTGCACTATTAGAAAGTAAAAGTGTCCATGACACCTTCTAGCCAGACCACACGCTGTAATCTTCGCCATACTTGACTTCAGGAAACCCCAGGTCACAAAACAAAGAACCGCCTGAGCTTTCAGCCAAGTTTGACCCTTTGGATGAAATTGATAGGAAGTTGGCAGACATTAGTAACTTAATCATTATAAATGAACGATCATTATAACCCCCCTCTTTTACATACATAAAGTGGTTGAGATTGGCCAAAGGTTGCAGCCCATTCAGGTATCATGACTATTAATAAAAAGATCCGTTGAGTGACTGCCACCCCTCAGCCCAGCCTCAATGTTAATTAAGCAGGAAGCCAGTTGATATGGTAAATGAGTGGGAAAATGTCACAAGCTAACCACCAAATGCCCCCTGTTGGCCACCCAGTTAATTGCCGTTTCCAATAATCCTACAGGGTGGGCTCTGTTTCCAAACAGAGAGCCTGAACAGAACAGAGGAAATGTATAAAGGTAATCACTTGACAACTATAACTTTGTTGCAAATTTTGATTGCTGTACTTCACATTATGCTTGGAAATAAACTTTGCCTCTGCTCCAAGTGGCTTGCCCTGTGTGTTCTTTGGATGCCCCAGCCTAGTTTCGAACCCAGGACTCTCTTCTAACAGTCCAATATACTAGGTAGGAGAAAGCCACATGAAAGGGTAATTCTTTTGCTGTGGGTCACACCATCTATGAGCAATTCACACAGTTTCTTTTGTATCTGTATGGTGTCCTTAGTCTTTGTCACAATGGCAGTGAAATTATGTGCTCTGTTTACAAAAACAAGAGTAGGTATTAATACTGAAGTTCCTGTTTGCTGCAGAAAAGAGCTTTCTCTGTGCCAAAACTCCACACAGGGAAGCAAGGTCTTCAGCACTTGATTAATAGCATGCCGATTTAGCATACTCTTGTCGCCTAGCTCAAGTCAAAACGATGTTAGATCAACGCACAGCAGAGTGAAGTTCAAACATCGCCTTCTCAGTCTGCAAGTTTGGTAGGCTAAATTGTCCAGATGGACTTGGAATGATGCAATCATCTCAGAATTAAAGGTTTTTCTGTTGTGGGCCAAAAGTCAGGCTCATGTAGATATTGAGAAGGGGATGTTTAATGGTTGATTAAAACCCCTGGATAAGGGAGACCTGACTTCTATTTGTAAACATACAAAAGAACAGAGAATAAAAAAAAAGATGGACTATGTGTACATATTTGGAAAGACCTTGTCCTTTTTCCTATCCTCTGGCAGACTCACAGAAAATGCCAAAGTTCCTCCAGTTACGTGAGGCTAAATTTCCCCTCATTTCCCACTACCAATATTACGGTTAGGTTACTATTAGTTGTATTGCAACCACCTAGAAGGCACTAAATTGGGCTGTTTTCTGGTTGTGAAGAAAATGTTCATAGCCTGCCTGCATATAAATGCCCCCAGTTTCAATGCTTTTAATTCCTAAGCAGGGAATCCCTAGAGCAGGGAATGTCCCTTTCCTGAAAGATTAGGTTGCTGTTCTCATTCAGAGAAAATAATGCTTACTTAAACATATTCAATCTTTGATATAAATTAGCCTTTTGTATTCTTTTTTCTGAAATCCGTAAATAAAGGAAAAGACACAACTTGTTCAGTTCAGGACAGATTACATATGCCCCTTTATGTTTTTCTTTCATGTGTTCAGAATCTACTTATCCTGGAGTAACCGGGAATAAAATAAAGAAGCCATGAGGAAAATATAATCCGTGGTAGATCACTCAAAGAACTTGACTTTTCCTTGGATGCATTCCATCCCATATACCTGGATTCAAAATATTTGGAAGTTTTCATTACAAACTCACACAGAACTTTCCAATTATAAAATAATGATAGTAGCTTTTAATGATTCATGCAATGTGTTGGAACAACAGCATGATTAGGAAGTGAAATTCAATGACAATTGCGGAAGTTATTATTTCCAAAGCTAATTTTCTGATATTTTTGCTTGTGTGCATTGCAAATGGAGACAGAAAGTGCATATTTTGTAACCAGTGGCATCTACCACATCCTACCCCATCCCGTAGTCCTGAAAGGGACTATTTTTCTATTTGGAATTTGGAATGGAAATAGATCTAGTAATCAGAAGATAACATGTTGCAGGGTGTTCATAGCACTCCCTCTTTCAGCACTCAAAACAAGGATTGAGATGATCATTCATGCTTTGGATAAGTTACCCTTATAGCACACTGGATATAAATGATGGAGCTTAGTGACATTGCCAAATCAAAGACCAATCACTGACAATCCCAACTATCAGTGTGTTAACTGAAGTGTTCAAACACTTATGGCAGGTAGCAAATAATCTGCCGTGCTAATGTGTCTTCTTTCTAGACAATTTATTATTGTCTTTTAACTTGCTTTAGGCCAATACAAATGATGCTATTCTCCCCCCTTGTTACATGAAAGGTGAATATTAAATCCTAATGAATCATGTTTGTCTCAGAGTTACAACTATATGAGGCCAACCAATTTTGCCTTCACTCCCTACTGATAGTTAAAATGAAATAATTTAAGAAGGAAGCCATTTCTGTAATGAGCCAAGTCTGCCAGGCTACCCATATTGTCAATAGGCAAATTCTCATTGCAGCAATTTTGTGATTGCACTTGTAACATGCTTTCAAATATGTTCCCATTACCTTTGGAGAGCAGAACATCAAAGACCTTATTTGTAATCTGTATCAATCACCAGAGAAGAGGATGACCAGCAGCAAGATAGAGGGACTCAAATTACAGTGGTGATAGAGATAACATTGGAAGATCTGAAGATCAAGACTGGACCAGGTAATTCTATAAAAAAATCTATGTGATCACCCATAGCCAGCACAAATATAGTGGCACACAATCAATCAATTACTTGCTATATCAAATTTAAGGTAAAGGTTCCCCCGCACATGCGTGCTAGTCATTTCTGGCTCTAGGGGGCGGTGCTCATCTCCGTTTCAAAGCCGAAGAGCCAGCGCTGTCTGAAGACGTCTCAGTGGTCATGTGGCCAGCATGACTAAATGCTGAAGGTGCACGGAATGCTGTTACCTTCCCACCAAAGGTGGTCCTTATTTTTCTACTTGCATTTTTTACATGCTTTCGAACTGCTAGGTTGGCAGAAGCTGGGACAAGTAACGGGAGCTCACTCTGTTACGTGGTGCTAGGGATTCAAACCGCTGAACTGCCGACCTTCTGATCGACCAGCTTAGCATCTTAGCCACTGATCCACTGCATTCCATATCAAATTTACAAGAACTAATTTTAGCAATTTATAGCAATTTACTATAATCGATAGTAGACTCCTACTGGTCATTGCAAGATGCTTCCAAATGGCCCTGACTCAACGTGGCTAACCCTGTACCCACCAGTCCTACACTGTCACCCTTGCTATCCCTGCTGTGGGGGCCTTCTTGCAATTCAATTTATTTTTATTCTTCCTCTCTATCAGTATAGCATGAAACTTGCTTGATAAGATCCAATCTCTGCTTGTCAGTGCTGAGTTGTCACGTTTTCCCCCTCTGTTCTTTAAAGGATAACTAATACAGTAATACTTTGATAAGCTTCTCCCAGCAGGAAAAGCTTCACATTTTCATTTAAAACTGTTGTTAAAGAGACAGAACCGGTAAAAATGCTATTGAAAAACAATCTCCTATTCTCTTTCTCCCTATGTTCCATTTTCACTATGAATGACTATAAACCCAGAATCTATATTTCTGCCTATAAGATCCCATGTAGAATGAGCCCAAGAATATTCAAAAAAAAAAAAAAAAGGAAAAAGAGAGGGGAGATTGGGCTCTTTTTCTAATTATAGTGAAATTTTTGCTTTTCTACAGGTTTTATGAGAAAATGTTAGCTCATATGTAGTGCTAAAACATGATTTCTTGGTTTAGAGCAGCCATTATGGTTTTAATGGGTTTATTTCCAAGTTAAAAATGCAGGGGATTGAGCTGTAATACCTGCTATTGTATTTTTCACATTTTCTACACACACACATACAAAAAAAAAATAGTTGAATCCAGTCCTTCTAGCATTTGAAAACAAAAAAGTGACCTGGAACTCTTTCTTATAGCCATTCTAACTTTTGGTCCTCTAGACCAGGGGTGTCAAGCCTTTTGGCTTGCGTGGGCCACACTGAGTGAAGAGAAATTGTCTTGAGTTGCATATGTAACTGTTGCATATGTAACTGAGCTCACTGTAACAGCATTGCTAAAAAGGCATTAAGAGTTGTTAACCTGATTTTGCGAAGCTTCTTCTCCATTAACATTGTATTGCTAACTAGGGCATACAAAACCTTTGCCAGACCAATTCTTGAATACAGCTCATCTGCCTGGAACCCACACTGTATATCGGACATTAACGCAATTGAGCAGGTCCAGAGGTATTTCTCGAGAAGAGCACTCTACTCTTCTACTCACAATAGAATTCCCTTTGCCTCCAGGCTTGAAATTTTGTGTTTGGACAATCTGGAACTGTGTCACCTGCGGTCCGATCTAAGCATAGTACACAAAATTGTCTGCTACAACATCTTACCTGTCAACGACTTCTTCAGCTTCAACCACAATAATACACTGGCAAACAATCAATAAAAACTCAAGGTAAACCACTTCAAACTCAATTGCAGAAAATACGACTTCAGCAACAGAGTGGTCAATGCCTGAAATGCTCTACCCGACTCCGTTGTTACAGCCTCAAACCTTCATAGCTTCAATCTCAAACTGTCTACCGTGGACCTCACCCCATTCTTAAGAGGTCCGTAAAGGGGGCCTGCATAAGCACACCAGCGTGCCTACTGTCCCTGTCCTACTGTATTTACTTCCTTTGTTCATGTTTATGTTCATACCTATACTTGTTACCTTATAGATGTTTGACAAACAAATAAAATAATAAATAAATAAATAAATAAATAATATAAAATGTATAATATAGTTAATGTATATTAATATCACTAAAAATCACATAATAATCTTACAAGTGTACAATCTTGTGGGGCTACCCAGGGCCACATGAGGCCCGTGGATTGTGGGTTGAATACTCCTTCTCTAGACCTTGATTTGGCAAAAAATTGCTGGCATAAATTTTGATGCCCTAATCTAATTCTGTCCCAGTAATGAGACAGTGTTTGGGTGCTGTCCTTATTGCTTCAATGCAGGATAAATTAGGGGGAAAATTGATGGAACCTCCTAGCTTTGTTTTTCCTGTCAGAGAGGCATGTGCTAGTGGGATAAACGAAGACCTATCGCTCTCCTTAATGTGTGGTGAGATCACTGCTGGATGAATCCAAATGGTTTGAACAATTTGTTTAATCCACTGCTAATTGGACAGTTAGCCATTAATTATTGATCTGCTTGCTATGTTTCCAGAAGGGTGATGGAGAAGAGTGGCCAGAGGAAGCAGGCCTGCACCAGTCTGTAACTAGCTGAACCCAGGTCCTGACATGCCCCATCAATCACCTGGGAGACAAAGAGTCCAACCGTATGTCCATGAAAAAATTAGTGGCAAGAGAAGAAGGAAAAGCCAATTAAAAACAGGATTTTAAAATGTTCCATTCAAAATTGTTAGCAGGGCACATTCATCTATGGTCAGAGGAACATGAGGATACATTTTAAGGGATCTTGGTCTGCCACTAGATTTTACTTATTTATTTAGTTTGTAAAAGTGACATGAAAAAATTGCTTTAATCCAGTAGTGAAATGTAAAATTTGTTACTATCGTTTCTGTGGGTGTGGCTTGTTAGTGGTGGGGGGTAATGTGACTGGGTGGGCATGGCCAACTTTTTTTTTTTTTTACTTTTAAAAGCATTTTTTCTACAACCTTAAGAGGTTGCAGAAAAAAATGCTTTTAAAAGCCTCTGCTGATCCCAGCTGAGCCGCGCGATCATCAGAGGCTTTTTTTTTACTTTTAAAAGCATTTTTTCGGCAGAAGAGGTTGTAGAAAAAATGCTTTTAAAAGTAAAAAAAAAAGCCTCTGATGATTGTGCAGCTCAGTTGGGCATTGGGGAGGGGGGGTAGGGATTTTTGCTACTGGTTCTCCGAACCACACGCCTCCATTGCTACCAGATCAAGCAATCCGGTCCAAACCGGGAGCATTTCACCCCTGCTTTAATCGTACAGCAACATTTCCAGTATGTTTTTTAAAATGTGCTGAAACCATACAATGCAGAGGTTTGGAATTAATGGTCAGATTTCTTTGTTTAACATGTAGTTGTAAAGGCAGTTGCACTAGACTTGAATAGGATAAAACTTTCTAGCAGGCCAAATAAAATAAAATAGATAAACAACTGTTGCTCTACCTCTGTGAAGGGTCATGATAACATCACAACAAGAGAATCTTCAAGTGGCCCATTTTTGTCTGTAAGATATCCTGAATGTTGAAATTTAGCCTACTGAACGGGAAGGTCAGGAGAGTGGAAAAACTAAAACAAGATTTTACTCTTAAGTAGTCCTCAAATTACAATTGGGCCCAAAATTGCTAACTGAGAAATTTGTTAAGTGAGTTTTGCCCCATTTTATGACTTTTCTCACCACATTTGTTAAGTGAATCATTGCAGTTCTTAAATTAGTAACATGGTTGTTAAGTGAATTTGGTTTCCCCATTGACTTTGCTTGTCAGAAGATTGCAAACGGATATCACATGACCCCGGGACACTGCAACCAACATAAATGTGAATCAGTTGTCAAGCGTCCGAATGTAAATCACATGATCATGGGGATGCTGCAATGGTCGTAAGTGTGAAAAATGGTCATAAGTCACTTTTTTTCAGTGCAGTTGTAACTTTGAATGGTCACCAAATGGAATGTTGTAAACCTGTATTCTGAAGTCACAGAGAATATTGGAATGCTGCCTTTAGGGCAGCATTTCTCAAACTTGACAACTGTACACCAAACTTGACACCAGGGCCTGGTGGCTCAGCAGACTGATAGCATTGTGATTAACACCAGCTGTCTGCAATTACCGTAAGTTCGAATCTCACCAGGCTCAAGGTTGACTCAGCCTTCCATCCTTTCTAAGGTAGGTAAATTGAGGACCCAGTTTGTGGGGGCAATAGCTGACTTTGTATAAATATACGAAAGTATGACGGCTATTGCTTAACGCATTGTAAACCGCCCTGAGTTTCCGGAGAAGGGCGGCATATAAATCAAATTAAAAAAAAAAATGCTGAATTTTGGGAGTTGGTCCAAGCATCTTAACTCTGTGTTTTCCATTTAGTCCAGATAAAGCTTGAATATTAACTAATATTTTCATAGAGATCAGTCTTATTAATATTTATATGGTAATTGTTTATTTCCTTCAGATTCTACATTTATAAAAGCTTGGAAGACATTCAGAGGAAAATGTGATCATGTAAAGCTTCTGTCTCCATGTTAAGCTATCATACATTGCATTCTGTAGAAGCCATCTCCATCCGATAGTCTTCATATCTGTTGGGATTCCAGCTCCCTTAATTCTTAAAGCTGGCCATACTAACTGGGAGTTCTGCAAAGTGTAATTACTATGAAGCTTGAGTCATGTGCAAAGGAAATTGAATGCGCTTTTAGTGCTATAAATCCAGTAATATCTCACAGCTACCCCATCTTTTCTTCTTGAAGCAATAAGAAGAGAGTTGCAATAGAAGGTTACCATATTAGCTTGCCTTGTAATATTTTAAGGAGGCAGGTTAATGGCACAATAAAACCTATGTTGAAAAATGTCCTTCTTTTGCGGTTTTATTTGCAAATCTAAAGTGAGTTGTTCCCTTGACAAATGCGTCCTTTGTAGTTATTGTTATTAGATTTATACCCTATCTTTCTTCTGGAAAGTTGAGTTCTAGGAACTCAAGATTGCTGCATTTTTGCAGTATATGCCAAACACTCAGATTGTGTCCCACTCCATTTATTCTTAAAAACTACTCCATCTGCTTTCTTCGTATTGTTTTCTTAATGTAATTTGATTTCTTAATATAACTGCATTTGTTTTCATAACATCACTTGCTTTCTTTATACAGCTACACAGTGTATAGTCCTCTAATTCAGTGTTTCTGTTTCTTGATTGAAAAGGAAGATCTTGTTTAATATAACGAACTTAGTTTTAGATATTTCTGGCCCCCTTCTTTTTTTTTAAGAAGGAGAAATGACTATTTTGTATTTGTATAATCACTTACCGAGAAGAAGACCCATTAAACTCAATGAGATTTAATTTTGAATGTGTATATGTGTGTATAAGCTTTCTCTGGTGCTCGCAAACCCAGACAGGATTGCTGTCTGTAGATGCTTCAATATAGGAAAGTTTGCTCGCTTTGGCACAGGGCAAACAAAGAAGTAAATCCTTAAAACTGGCAAAGCTTATTTTTAATTAGGTACTCAGAGAAGGTAAACACATAATCAGGTTTCCCTTTTAGAAGGCTACAGTGAGATGATGTTGGCAGACCTTGAAAATACCCTGGGTTCTTTGCTAAATAACTAAAAAAAACCCACATGGACTCCAGTTCCTTTGTTCTTCCAAGCAGGTTTGCCAAGCCAAAAGAGCAGGGGTGAAATGCTACCAGATCGGACCGGATTGGCCAATCCAGTAGCGATGATGGCCGGTAGTTCGGAGAACCAGTAGCAATGGCAGCTGGAGGCTCCACCCATCCACCCACCCGCCACATTCCGCGGAGTCTGGGAATACACCATTCCCCGACTCCGGCCTTGCCATGGAGCCGCTGCCTGCTCGCCCTTCGCCACACGGTGTATCCTACTGCTCACCTTTCTCCCGCGGCTGGCTGTCAGGGAAGGCAAACACCCGAAGTCACTCACTCTCCTTGAATGAGCCGCCACCATCGCCGCTCTGATCCATGCACCAGCTGAGTAAGCGCACACCGTTTATTTAATTCACTCATCAGCGGCAGGTTGGGTGTGCACTTGCGTAGCCGGCGCATGGACCAGAGTGGTGATGGTGGTGGCTCATTCAAGAAGGAGAGTGAGTGACTCCGGTAACTTTCAGGTGCTTGCCTTCCCTGACAGCCAGCTGCGGGAGAAAGGTAAGGACACGCTGCTTGGCTATGAGAGAGTGGGCAGCGGCTCTGGGGCAAGGCTGGTATCGGGGAATGGTGCATTCCCTGACCTGGTTGAGGCAGGCGGCGAGCAGGTGGCGAGCAGGCGGCAGCTCCAGGGCCCCAGGAAATGGTGCATCCCTGGGCCCTGGGCCCTGACCCAAAGCGAAGAGAGAGTGGGTGGCGAGTGGGTGGCAGAATAGAAATTTAAAAAGTTTTCCTACCGGGTTCTGTGGGCGTGGCTTGGTTGGAAGGGGTCTTATGACTGAGTGGGCATGGCTGTGAGTGACATCAAGTTGGCCATGCCCACTCAGTCACAGGACACCCCCCCACCAAGCCACATCCACAGAACCGGTAGGGAAAAATTTTAGATTTCACCCCTGCAAAAGAGTTTGCTAAAACTACATCCTAGGAATTTTTATTAGGGGGAAAAAAAACCAGGCTAGGTTCAGAAGAGCTTAGTTCTCAGTGCACATAGGATGATGGCTTGTATGGTTTACAGCTGGTGTATCTATGTTTGAAAAATGTTTCATGGACTAGATACAAGGAGTGTGCCTTATTTTGTTCTGTTCCTATTGTTAGCAATTGATTTGAAGGACCTTTCATTTCTTAAGCTATGGTAGAAGTTTTTGGGCTGAGGCTGTAGGTGGCCTGCTAGGTTGCAAATAGCTAAATGTCTATGGAGATTCTCAGTCATCCAAGTTATGGTTGTCCCAAAGGTGCTTTTTCAAGAGGCACTGGACTTTTTCTTTGAAGACATTTCGCTTCTCATCCAAGACTGGGTGGTGGGGAATGGAAGAATTTAATGACCTTAATGACTCTCTAAAAGGATGCAAATGACCAGCTGTCTGCACACCCACCCAGATGCTCCACCCACCCGCCCAGATGCTTCTGCACATGCGCAGAAGTGTTGTGTGCATGAGCGAACCGGTAGCAACAGGTTTTGAAACCCACTCCTGAACTCCCCTGCTGTTATGAGAATCCAGGTTCCTTCAGCTCCGTCATTTCATTTAATGGCTAAAGAGGTGTTGTGGCCTGCCAGTGGCCAGCGAAGTTGGCAGCAGAGTCAGAGTGTGAGGAGGTTGGGGAGAAATTTGGGCCAGTCCTGGGGGCTGGGGAAAGCTCGGACGAGGGCTCTGCGTTGGAGGCAGAGAAGGAGGTAGACAGCAGCAAGGCAGAGGAACAGCTGGAGCCATTCCCAGTGCGCGCACGTGCAGAGCTGCCAGAAGACAAGAACAACTCAGAAAGCAGGGTCAACTCCAGAGTAAAAGCCATACCTTGGAGGTGATTGGCCCCTCCCACAGGAAATAAAAGAGGAGCGAACAGAGTGTTGGCTTTTGCAGAAAACAATTTGTTCATTCTGTGACTCTGAGAGACTCTGTGCCAGGTTTTGCTTTGTACTGTGGTTGGAAACAAGCTACGTGGCAGCTTGCCAAGCTTAGAGTTGGGGCATTACGATCTTCTCCTAGGCTTTTCCTGTTCTTTCCTCCAATAGGTTTTTCATCTGTTTTATTTTCTTAGCAAAGAGGTTCAGGGATTCTTTGAATCACCATCATGATTGTGTTTTTGAATTTTGTCATTTATGTTACAGAACGTTTCTTTGTGGTGTCTTTGCCGTTCTCTGGATTTTTGCTGCCCAGATGTGCTATAATTATTCTATTTGAGATAGAAAACAAAGTGCAATTAAGTGGTATAGTTCTTGTTCAACCATAATTCAATGAATTAATTAAATTTATTGGATGTTATATAAATTAATTACTTACTTTAAGGAATTGTAGGGTTTGAGAATTCCTAGATTAAACAAAACAATACTTCATGTGTTCTGGAATGAATCTGTCCCTCCAGTGAGAATGGGGAGTAAAAGGATTGTTAAGGGTCAGCAGGGGACTTTCATCTGTATATGGCCCCCAAAACGGAGAAGTTTGAAGGATGATTCCCCCTTCACCCTTCCGGAATAGCTCAGGAGTGGGTTTCAAAACCCGTTGCTACCGGTTCACTCGTGCACACAACACTTCTGCGCATGCGCAGAAGCATCTGGGCGAGTGGGCGGAGCCTCCCGCTGCCACTGCTACCAGTTTGCCTGATCCAGGGTGAACCGGTAGCAATCCACCATTGGAATAGCTTCTCCCACACCCAGACTGCTTCCTCTCCACTGTTTTTTTTTGGGGGGGGGATATAAAAACAGCCCATTTGATAAGGCCTTGGGCGAGAGATGTAAGTTTGTGCCTCCCCGATGGATGCTGCCTTTTTTATAGTATTGATTTTGTCTCTTGATTTTAATGCATCTCCAGTTCTAAGGCATTCAGAGCCCAGCATTAATGGAGCAGCATAGAAATCTTAGTCATACATAAATAATACTTTTCCGATATCCATCATCAAAATTCCAATATATTTGACAGTTTCATCAGAAGCTGAACATGTTCTATATAGAGAGGCTTTTAATCAGTCATTGCACTGAGGGAAACAAAAATAATAATTCTTGCATTTGGTCTCTAAATCCTCAAATCCTTTTAAAAAGTTTCTTTTTCAAAGCCAGCTGTAGTTTTGTTTTGTTTTTTTAAGTAGAAAGGTTTGTCTGCAACAATTACGTTTTTCTATGCAAAGTGGCTTTAAAGAATGAATGTATTCTGCCTCCTTGAGTTTTAGCCTATCCTGACCAGCACTTTACTTCTTGTTTTCCTCTTATAAATGCTAATTGCTCATTAAAAAGCAGTGAGCATCTTTCAGAACAACTATTTTTAACATTTGCATGTGAAGTTTGCCTAGGCTAATCACATGCAAAAACAAGAAAACAAGGATTTCAATGGCTGCCAAGAACAGGGAAAAAACGCTGCTTCATCAGGGAATCATTTAACTGTTTCCATCCTGCAATGAGGACTTTATGTTTTTTCACCCAGATCTACCATATTTTTCAGAGTATAAGACGCACCTTAGTTTTTGGGGAGAAAAATAAGAAAAAAGGTGATTGGTGGGTGGATCAGCCTCCCGAAATACCCCCTTCTCAGAGGTGAATTTTAGCAACAGATTGATTGGTTGTGAGCTCTGTGCCTTGCTTTTTTTTGTGCCTCTGAAAGCCTCCGAAACAGAGCTTCAGAAAAAAAAAGCCTCTGAAGCTCTGTTTGTGAGGCTTTTTTTCTGAAGCTCTTATTTGGAGGCTTTTTTCCCTGAAGCTTCGTTTCTGATGCTTTTTTCAGCCTCTGAAATCTCCGTTTGAGAAGCTGGGCAGAGCTACATTCAGAGTATAAAACACACCCAGATTTTCACCTACTTTTTTTGGGGAAAAGGTGGTTTTATACTCCAAAAAATACGGTATTTGTTACTTCTTTTTTACATCCAGTGCTTTAATCAGTGGTGGGATTCAAGTAATTTAACAACCAGTTCTCTGACCTAATGATTTCTTCCAACAACCCATTTGCCAAACTGCTCAGAAAGTTAACAACTGGTTCTCCCAAAGTTGTGCGAACTGGCTGAATCCCACCACTGGTTTTAATGCTTTCTTTTTACCTGATGGCCACTGCAATCAGTTTATGCATGACTCATAAGCACAGAGAATATTCTAGGATATATTTATTCTAGAGAATAAAAGAATAAATGAAAATAACATTTGGAGGAGTGCTTTGGGCCTACCTGCTATTCATTACAGCAGCCATTATTTTCCCAACTTCTTCATGACTATAGATTT